TTTCTACCAAATCTAAAACTTTTTCCTCAGTAGAAAGGATACTTAAACTGTCCCTCAGCTCATTTCCTCCAGAACTAAAGAAGTCACCATAATTAGAAAAGTGTTCGTTAGTCACCAACTAAGAGTTTTACTATAGGGACCTTTACAGAGATAGAAATGGGCTAACCCAGAGATCCATTCTCTCTACAAGACCACAACTGCCATCTATTCTACCTGAGTCAGGCACCATATCTGATATAGTGAATGATAAGGATTTGGTTTGATTTGGTTTCCTAGGAAAACAATACTCTGACATTTAATTGAAAACAATGGGTTTCACAAAATACATGAAATAAGAATGAGACCTTGACCAAAACAATAACACATTTTCCCTCCTGTGGACTGTCCAATGATGCTGTCAAAATAAGATGAACCAGCAGAAAGCTAAGAACACAAAGAAAGGAGAACAGACATGAATAAAAGACTAGAAGGGATATTCTAATCTAAAATTATAAAAGAAAGAGATTAGTCATGGTTGGATGTTTTCTGAGGGAAGGGAGGAGTGACTTAGGGAATGTATTAAGAAAAGGATGGCCTAGAAACACAGAATATTATAAAAGGGTGACTCACGTTATATATTTTAGGAGGAAAAAGCTGCACTAAATCTGAAAGGAAATAAGCAAAATGTAATAAGATGCTAAAGGGAACCCCAAGAGGAAAAAGTTCAGGAACCAGTTAGACAAAACCAATGAAGCTGGAAGAGACGAGTAACACAACTTAAATATATTACATTAAATTCATATTTCAATCAAAAAGTAGAGAGAGCAAAAAAAGTCATTTAAAAAGATTTCTAAGAGTCACCCTCTGAAACAGATCTATATGATTAAATAAATGGTCTTAGATTCATATCCTCAAAATGCAAATTTAAATAGAATAAAAAAATAACATCAAGGGGAAAAAATTTAAGAATTCTGGACACACTAAATTAAAGAAAAAGCAAACAGATACCAAGAAATGGAATTCTCCCAAAATTTTCAAGTCAGTAAATGCACAGTTAAAAACAAGAAAGGAATCCCCCAATGTTCAGATAACACACAGAAATCATGCACCTACAAAAAGCACTCAAAAAGAAATATGAGTGGTAGAACAAATCTTTGAAAGAACAAAGAATCGGAAACACTGAAAACAAAAAACTGTTGTTGACTTATTCCCATGAGAATTTTTGTTTCAGGTTTCCCTAGAGACTAATAAGATCTGCAACTGAAACATCTTGCATCCTCAACCATCCAGAACAGCTATGAAACTGAAGCAAGCAAAAGACTCTTTTTAAGCACTAATAAAAATAAGGCAGAATTAAGGGCATGAAGATTAAAGAACACATAATGGTTTTAGTTAGTGGAGAAAGGGGTCTCTAAGAGCAGCCCAAAGCAGTCTCTAGAAGAGTTACTACGCTCATAGGCACCTAAGTTCAAATACAAGAAAAGGGAGAAAATGAAACAAAACCAGAAGATGGTAAACACATGGTCCTGAAAATGTGAAGCAACAAAGGAGATGAGAGAAGGAAATGAAAGCAACAAAGAGGGACTGAGGGGTAAGGGAGGAGAGGAGAACAGCAGACAATATGGATAATAGCAACATTGCTGGTGGTGAAAAGTAGATCAGTGGTAGGAAGTAGATTTGAGTTACAGCACAGAACAGAGATGGCCAAAAAGAATAACTGTCAACAAGATGTCAACTACCTAATGAATTTCAATATGGGAGACATAGCTTTATACACCAACAGTCTCAGAGATCAACTTATATGCCACATTAAAATAATATAACAGGAAGAATTTGGGGAAAACGTTTGGAGTTTTGTTTCCTATCTTTCCCATACATATAAAAAAGCACCATAATGGACATTCATAATAAAAACCCTAGGTCATTATTAAAGATTAAATTATATAATCTCATCAAAATGCTAGTTTAAAAAAGTTTTAAGGCATTAAAACTAATGTAATTTTAAAAATTATTTTGAAATAAAGAATAACAAGTGTGAAAAAGAAAATATAACTAAAAATAACAAATCGTTTTAAAAGGTACTTTAGTTATTTCTTAAATTTGTATTTTTTACATTGCTTCTATACAACAGATATAACATTAAAACCAAAGACTTTAAGTGACATTCTTATTAGAACGGTGTATTAGATGGTTGCACTGGAGGGAAGCAGTTTAGTTGGGAAGAAGAGGGATCCTATGTACAAATATTCCCAGAGTATATTTCAAATATGTCTCATACTACTTCACCAATCTAAAAAATATAACCATCTGATTGATACAAGCACAAAGTAGATGTTTCACCCTTCTACTTTATCTTATTCCAGAAAAAAAAATTTTAATTCCTATTTCCCTATAGATTTTATTCAGGGAACTTCTTAATCCTCATATTTCTTTGAACCTGCTCTGCTGTCTTACTGTTGCTCAAACTGTAGAGCTCAAACAAAATAAAAATCTTTGCAAGGACTGAGAATAATAAAAAGGTTTTACTTCAAGATTCCTACAATATATATTTATGTGTAATAGTCTGAAAATTAAATATATATTTAAGTATTGCTTGAATACTAAATAATTCTTATTCATTTCTTTCCACATTATAGGTCATTTCATAGACTTCAATAGATAGTACAGAATGTTATAACAATCAGATAAAGAAAATATTCTTATTCTAATAATGCTATAACTTAATATGCCTATCTTTCAAAAGGGTAGTTATTTTAGGATTCCCAAGCTTAAGGTCTACTGGGCCTGTACCTTTAAGAGACTGGCTGCTTCCAATGCTGGAATGTTCTCTTCTTCTTTGCCTCAACTTTCTTTGAGACTCAGCTCAAATTCTACCTTTTCCGACAAGACTTTTCTGGCCCTCCATTCTAACTTCCCCTCCCCACCCCCAAAACTAACACCCCAGTGTTAGTGTCTTCCCTCTGAGATGACCTTCCATCTACTCTGTATATATCTTGGATACACTTAGTTATTTATATGTAGTCTCTCCCATTACACATTGAATTCCCTGAAGGCAGAAACTGTGCATTGTCTTTCTTTGCATTTGCAGTGCTTAGCACAGAGTGAGCATTTAATAAAATGCGTGTTAACTGATTGAATTTGCTTGGTTTGTAGTTTTTCATTAAAGACTAAAATGCCAGGTATTTGTCATTCTTCCTAAATACATTATTAAGACAACATGGACCACAAAACTTTTTCAAAACTTCTGTTCAGGTAATTCAAAAAGAGAATATTTAAGAAACAAATCTTTGAAATAAATCATTGGAGATTTTGGGGAAAATTCGACTATATAAATGTCCAAAAGATAAAGTTTTAGAACTACAGCAAAGAAGATATAAGCATGCTCACTGAAAAATCATATCTTTATTTTAAACAAACCTATGATGATAGAAATGTTATTTAAATATAGACAATAGTGTTCAAATATAAAATTTTTAAGAAGGTGACTGATAAACACACGTATTCTTTTTTAACTCCAAGAGGAAAGATGCATTCAAGTTCTAGAATTCCACTTTGTCAATACTATTTATTATCCTAATCTTTCTCCTAAAATCTGTTATGTCCAGCTACTGTTAAAAAGAAATACAAAAATAATGCTACACAGACCCACCATCAGCAGAATAAACTGTTTTTGTAAGAGTAGTAGGTGGGGTTTTGCTTAAATATCTCGTCACCTGCAATATATAATAATCCAAGGGCTTCTGTCCTGATCCCTTTAAAGAAAAACCAGGCAAGCCTATGTAAAACAGCTACTGTTCTTACAATACATAATCAATCACAGAATCTCATCGTTGAAATGAGTTTTAGAGATGGGTCATCTGCTGAATATCCCATTCAATTTTTGGATCACTACTGTTGTTAGGGAGTTGTGTTTTTTATATGTTTTAACATCAAGCCTAAATGTTCCCTCTTGGCAACTCCACCCATTGCTAATTCTGCCCTGTAGGGACAAACAAAATAAATACAACCTCTCTTTCCACATAGCAACCCTTCAAAAACTTTAAAAAAAAATTGCTAAAATGTCCCCTTCTAAGACTTATTCTCTTATCTAATCTCCCCCAGTTCTTTAAATTGGTCCTCACAGGGCATGATTTTGAGGCTTCAACATTCTGGCTGCACTCCAACCTACAGTTTATCAATATCCTTCCTAAAATGTGGCACCCAGAGGTAATATTACTTTAGGAATGGTCTACACAGGGCCAAGCTCAGTAGGATGGACACACGCTTCTGTTAATGATGCCTAAAATGAAAATAAATTACATTTCTGTTGCCCTAAAATCACTGACTCCTACTGAGCATGCCCAAAATCACTGACTCCTATTGAGCGTGCAGTCTAAAAACCCATTGATCTTTTTCAGATGGTGTTTTATTTTTTGAACTCAATTCTAGGAGTTTATATTTGTCATCTTATTAAACTTAGCTTGAAATTCTAGCCTAAGATTTTTCATCTTGATTCTGTCATCCAATATGCTTGCTATCTCTCTTTAGCTTTATGTCATCTGCAAATTTAATCAGCACGCCATCAGTACCTTGACTCAAGTCACTGATAAAAATTTTAAAAGAGGGTCAAACATAGACCCCCTGGGAGTTCCACTAAAGGATTCCTCCAAGCTGATATCAAACTATTAGTAATCTTTAGGTTCAGCCATTTAATCAAATTCAAATCGACCTAACTACACTATCGTGTAGCTTGCATCTCTTTATCTTTTCCACAAGAACAACATGGGAGACTTTGAAAATGCGGCAATAATACCCAAGTAAACAAGCTTAGCAATGTAGGACCTAGTAACAATTTCAAAAAAGAAAATGGAAACAAGGTTACTCTGCATGACCTGTTCTTGATAAAGCCATGACGGCTCTTCAGAGTCATCACTTCCTTTTTGAGATACCCCTCACAGTCCCTTTAACAATTCTACAATTTTGCCAGGAAACAAAGTAGAGCTCACTGGCCTATAGTTACAGGCTTCATCCTCCTGCATTACCTCTCTTGTTCTCCATGGACTTTCAAACATCACTGACAGTGGCTTAGCAATCACATCCACCAGATCTTTCAGTACCCTGGGATATAGTTCATCTGGGCCTGGCGAACTACACTAAGGCATGATAGAGAAAGAATGTATGAGGGTTTTAACCACCATGGGACAATATGGACAGAAAGAAGCAAAGAAATCTTAGAATACTGACAGGCATTCATTTTCATTCTCAATATATACAAAATAAATAGGCAGCAAAATATGTAAAACAGAAGTCCAATTTGAAACTAAACATCAACTAAATTCAGTTACCCAAATTAAAGCCCTTCAGGATATCACATGAGGATTTAACTTTTAAAAGCCAGAAAGGACTTTATACGTCATCATTCTTATTTTAGTTGAGCAACCTGAGGTCCACAAGTTAAGGAGACCTGTAGAAGTGACAGATATAAGTTGGTGGCAAGGTCAGAATTAGAATCCAGGTCTCCTGACTCATCCAGTGCTCTATCAAACCATTCTGACTTTCAATGACAGTTTGGACCACAGTATTTTAACCAAAAGAACCATATATGTACCCACAAACCGTAAATTGTTAATCCAGAGGGAAAGAGCAAATTGACCAATGGATTACTAAAAAGTATCTCGAGACTCTAAATTAAAACAATTATTTTCATATGAAGATTATACAAATCTATACATTATTCTATAGAAGGGGTTCTAAACCTGTGGTCTGTGAATTTGTTTACATTTTTAAAAATATTTTGATAATCGCATTTCAATATAATTTGTTTTGTCATTCTAGGTATTTGATGCATATAAAACCATTATTCTAAGAAGGGGTCCATAGCTTCACCAGATTTAGTCAATCTTGAGGTCTATGATACTCAAAAAGTATAGAACCCCTTACTTTAAAAGCAACACCACATACTTTTAAAAAGAATTATATCCATCTTGGGAATCTAATAATTAAATGACATTCTCTGATCATTTCTTATGATTGCACATGAGAATAAAGAATAAGGGAACACAGGAATGATGGTTAAAAAGATCATTTTGAGTGAAAAGTTAAAACAATGTAAATAGACCACACTCTCATTCTGATGAAGCTTAAATCACTTCACATTATTAATAAGATTAAGCCCTCAAATTTTATGTAAGCTAAAAATTTATAAGGAATTTATGAATTTCCTTTTTGCATGTCATAAAGGTACTGATTTAAAACTGTTAGGTTATTGATAATTAGAACCTAAACTAAAAGGAGTTTTGTGTTCTGATTTTTTAGCATGAAAAATTAATCAAATTGGTCCTACCAGTAATACAAATTTGGGAATGCAAAAGGCAAATTTTAAAACCAAATGGAAATAAAGAAAAATAAAACTGACAAATGAGCAGAGATGACATTTGTAAGAAGTATAAATAAACTCAAAATGTAAGGATTAAGGGCAAAATGAGCTTTTTTTGCTTTTTATAGTGCATGATCAAATAGCAAAGTCATGTTTTCCCTGGAAAACAATGTTAACATGTCTAGTTTCACAACCTATGAACCAGCTACAATATTAAAAGTAATATGAATGTAATCAGTTTTTATTTTAGGTTCTGGAAATGAAAGCAAGTTTGTACCTTAAGTGAGGCTAGTGGATGTTCTGGACCAAGTAAACTCCAATGAAAGGAAGCCAAATCTTCATCAGGTAGAATGTGATTACCTAGAACAGATAATATGTATAACTTAAAGCTAATTAATATTAAAATCAATACACAGAGGTATTTCCAAAATTTGCTACATTTCTTGAACTACCACAGCCCATTCATCTTCTTTAAAAAAAAAAAAAGGCTGCCAAACATATTTAACTTATGATTGTTCACCATCAATTAAGTCAAATCAAAGGCTACTTAATATATTAACACTCACAAACTAAGCAATCGTGACAATGATTCAGTCTTTTCATGGAAAGGAAAATGTAGCCAATGACTCAAAAGATGCAAATTTGCAACAAAAGAATCGAATTTAAAAGCAAACAGTTGTAAATAAAAATTATTTTCCTAGAATTAGTTTTTTTTGAGGGTTTTTTTCCTGGCTTTTTGGTGAGGCAATTGGGGTTAAGTGACTTGCCCAGGGTCACACAGCTAGTGTCATGTGTCTGAGACTGGATTTGAACTCAGGTCCCTCTGACTCCAAGGCCAGAGCTCTATCGACTGCACCACCTAGCTGCCCCATTAGTTTTAAAAAACAAACATCAGAACTGTTTTTTCTTTCATCTTTAGGAAACTATGATGGCCTAAGTTGTTAGACAGGTAATTCCTGAAAGGTGGATATAATTCCAAGAGTCATCACATATTTTCGCTTATTTGCAAAACAGCAATGGTTCAATTTTTCTTGAATTTAGTAATGTACCAAGGAAACCTTAATTAACAGAAACTTCCAAAATTAAGTCTTTTTTTTCCTCAGTCAAGACTCATGACAATGACTACCATCTACAAAAGGAACAAAGATCACCAAGTCATTCTAAGATGATCCAAGAGTCAATTGACAAAGAACACTCTGCAAAAAAATGCTACCAACACAAATAAGTTTATATCCTATTACCAACCCTGAGTCATAGAGTCCAATAATATTCTACAACTAAGAAATACATTATTTTGAGAATCCTTTATTTTTATGAGGTCTGGGTAACAGACATTAAATCTTTTGGTATTTTAGCTATTTCTATACCATTTAAAGGATATATCACAATTCATGAATGACAATCTCTATAAAATTGATTTTATATTTTAATCTCTATTTTGAGGGGTGGGTTTACTAAGTAGCTACTTAATCAAAACTGTTATGATGGCATAACAACAATAAGTAGCATGTATATAGCACCTACTATGTGGTAGGCTCTGCGTTAAACACCTAACCAATATTATCTCATTTGATCCTCACAACAACCCTGGCAGGTAGGTGCTATCACCTCATTTCATAGGTAAAGAAACTGAAGCAGGCAGAAGGCTATGTGATTTGCCCAAGGTCACACACTAGTAAATGTCTGAAGCTACATGTGAATTCAGAGTTCTTCCTGAGTTCAGGCCAAGTGGTCTATCTACTGTGCCATCTAGGTGTCTCAAACAGAGAGGAAAAGTAGATTTTCATTTCAAATATATCTGTTTTACACCTATTCTAAGTATATAAATGTAAAATACAGGAGGATAGTATGTTTAACTAAAAAGAGACTATTCCAACAGCAAAAGCATCTAAATAATATAAGTTTTCCCTTACTGAGAGAATATATAAATCTTAACCAGGAAACATCCACAAAATACCAGCTACATTTTTCATTGTGATGTGAAAATATTCAACCTCTTTAAGATATGTCAATTTTAAGAAACAATCATTCCAATCAAATGTAAACATACTTTATGGGCAAACATACATTAACTAACGAGTTCCCTCCCCTCTCCAACCCCCTAGCTGCCCTGGCTTCCCTCAAGATTCAGCTCAAATTACAATACTTTCTGCAGCAGGGTGACTTTCCTTCCCTTCACTTAAAATTATATTTACATGTTACATCTTGTATACACAAGATATGTTACTTACATATGCAGTTACTTATATGTTGTCTTCCCCATCAGAATGTAAGCTCCTAGATAGAAGGGTCTAGGTTTTGCCTTTCCTTGCACCCCTGACACTTAACACAGTGCCTGGAAATGTTTTTAATAAATGCTCATTGACAAAATGATTGAACGGGTTTATGTGTGTTTTGCCTTCAGGACAAATGAGAGGTAGCATGGCAAGTGGTTAGAGTATTAGATTTAGAATAAGGAAAACCCGAGATCAAATCTCATATTTACTAGGCCTCGAACACTCCTTAGTTGTGTGACCACGGTGAAGTCAAGTACCCTTGTCAGCTCCAATATACCTTTTAAGGGTCTAATTTAAAGATGGATTAGATCTGCAATCAGTGGAAACAGTTCCCAGTGAGAAAACTGTAGGTCCTTGACATATCCAGCATTTTAAAATTATTTTTGTTGTTGTTCAGCTGTTGTTTAGTCATGTCCAACTCTTTGTGACCCAATTTGGAGTTTTCTTGGCAAAGATATGGGAACAGTTTGCCATTTCCTCCTCCAGCTCATTTTGCAGATGAGGAAACTGAGGTATATGGAGCTAAGTGAACTGCTCAGGGTCACACAGCTAGTAAATATCTGAGGCCAGATTTGAACTCAAGAGATTAATCTCCCTCACTCCAGGACTGGCACCACCTAACTGACCTGAAAGTATTACACCCAACCAACGTCCCCTAAAATAGATGATTTAAACTAGTATTATATTCAACCAAAAAGTTTCCCAACGGATGACTTAGTCTAGCTATAACCAACATTTTAGACAATAGAAGAAGTGCGAAGAATAGTTGAAGAGGAATTGTCCAGCTGAGGATTCACCTAATGTTTTCACAAATCACAAACAGACTACAAAAAACCCAACTTTTTGTTTTTTTTATTTTTTTGCTTTTTTGGTGAGGCAATTTGGGTTGACTTGCCCAGGGTCACACAGCTAGTAAATGTCATGTGTCTGAGACTGGATTTGAACTCATGTCCTCCTGACTCCAAGGCCAGAGCTTTATCCACTGTGCCACCTAGCTAAAAACCCAAACGTTAATTTCTCTGTACACCTTGTTTAATATTCAATAAAATCAACAGAACTCAAAGTAATTCCAAGTTCTAAATCACTGGGACAGACATGGATTTATACCCTAGTTATTCTAATGTTTCAACATGTGACTAGCTAGCTTAACCAGGAAAGTCTAACACTTGAAATAGTCTTCTGATAAGTACTTTTAAGTGATAATTCTCTCCTCATTTGTCGTATACTATTACCGTTATGGCTCTTCATGTCTCCCTCCTCATACCTTAAGGAAAGAAACGACTGTCTCCTTCCTACTCTCAAGTTCCCTCACACTCATCCACATTCAAATCCAACCTTGCCTACTCTTTTCCACTGTGCTCTCTGAACTACCATCTCTTCATCAACTTTTTACCTCACCCTCTTTTCATCTGTTAAGCCCTGGTTTCCCCTTTGATGACACTGTACCTACCACCTACCTCTGGTTATCCTCTCCAGTAATGGCTGGCCCTGAAGGTATCTGAATATGCCTGGCTTCCCACTGTCACTTCTAGACTTTTCCTTTGAACCCTTCACTCATCTTTCTCTTTTGAGGTACATTCAATTAAAATTTTCTACCCCAACAAAATTATGATAACTGTAGTATACCTATTCCTATCATTCTTCTTTCTCAAGGATTTCAGCCCCTCACTCACCATCTTCCTCTTCTCCTCAACTTCTGCCCTTAGAATAAGGGCTAGATTTTAGTATCCATCCAGTTCTCCCTTCTAACCTCCCATTTTCTCAATTTCCTTTAGTCCCAATAATGTATGCACTCCTTCACTCCACCTAAGTCACACACAGACTTGGCTGCACACTAGAGTTTTCCCATTACCCACCGTTATTTCACTTCTCCAAATGGAATCGCTGACACTCCCCTATCTTGCCATAACCTCCTAAGTCCCCCTCTTCCTATGCTGCACCCATCTCCTTTTTGGTGATCTCCTTTTACTCCACCTCTCAATACTTCCTCAGGTTATTACTTCTGCTCTCTTTTCACTTTCATATCTTTCCAACTACTCAACAGTTAGCCATTTCAACTCTTCACTGTCCTCTGCTCTTTCTAATGCTAGTGCTGCTCTTTTCTTGACAAACTTCAGCTACCACCTGCCTCCTCAGATCCTATTCATGACCTGCTTCATGAAGCCCAGGACTGTGCTGACTAGCTGCATTAAAAGTTCATTTTATCCAATCTTAACCGGGTTCATGTTGCAGCTAGGCAGTCTTTTTTATTTCTCCTTTATCAGTTACCTATCTTCTTCCCCACAGAAGATATTTCAGACCTTCCTTTGACCTTTCAGGCCCTCCATACTTTCTCCTCCCTCCTCAGCTCAAGAGCATTGCTCTTTTAAACAGGGGCAGGCAATGGAGGCTATTCTATGAGACCTCCCTCTTCTCCCATTCTCTTCTAGCCAAAATCCCTTGACATCATCTCCCACTCTTCCCATCCCATTCCCCCAAAGAATCCTCCCCAACGTCTGCTCTTCAAGCTCCCCACACTATTTCCTCCACCCTCTTTACCTTCTCTCCTTGCCTCGTACCTTTCTTTAAAAAAACAACAACAACAACAACAACAAATCTGAGGCTATTTTCAGAGCTCCTTCTTTTTCCCCCCTTCTCTTTATCTCAAAATCCTTTGACATCATTTCCTACTTTTCCTTCCATTCCCTGAGACTCTGAACAAAGAAACAGCTCTTTTCCATGAGAAGGCCAGCTCCGCAGCATGTACACTTGATTCATACCTACCATCTTTTTCAGCTGCCCATATCCTCAATCGACTCCCTTCTCTCTCACATCTTCAATACCTCCCTATCAACTGGTTCATTCCCTACTACCTTCAAATATGCCCAAGGCTTCCCATTCTTAAAAAGCTTTTGCTAGACTCAACTTTTCCCTCAAGCAATCATCCTTTTTAAGCCAATCTCCTTGAAAGATTGGTCCACACTTGCCGCCCTGATTTCCACTCCCCTCCACTTTTCAACACTTTCCAATCTTTTTCATCACTCATCTGAAATCATTCTCTCCAAAGTTATCAATGATCTTTTAACTGCCAAATCTGATCACCCC